ATGAAAAATACGGCTGTTGCAACCTGAGTGCTAGAGACCGGTAAGTGACGACGGAGGAGAGCGACATTGAGGCGAATTGCGTATCTTCTTTCATGGTATCTGCTCGAGGGAGATTAAATCCTATATGTCAGATGAGCCTAGGACAGAGGCAGTTGTCGGATCCCCAAGAGGGAAAGGGCCAATCCCATATCTTGGAAATGGCTACAATCATTTGGTCGGAGCGGACTTTGCTATGCAAGCTTTTCAAAAGCCCCTTTATGGAGACCGTTTCCGCGAGGTATCATATGTTTATATTGAAAGGAGGGGACGGATCAAAATACTGATTGGAGCTACGGGTGATGTTACGCTTGCAGAGGAGCTCTACCTCAGGAGCGTTGCAGACGAGGAGATGGCTAGGTGCATGGCATACATCTGCAAGATCGATCCTTCATCATCTTTTGACATTAGCTACGTGGTCCCAGAGGCAATAGCAACCCAGGTTCTTAATGATGAGGAGGACCAGTGTGTACCAGATGTGGAGTCCCGGACAGTAGGACCTACTCACAAGGGGTACCGCTTTTCATTATCGACTGAAATTCTTTCCTTCTAGTCATTGTGATGTATTATGACATTATTATGATTTATCAGTGACTGCAGCCCTCCAATGGCTACTCCCTGCATTCCCTGTGTAGTACTCTTCAGTTTCGTGTCTTTGGCCATGCTCTTGCAGAGTCTGGTTTTTGGTCTTCTTATTTTTTTCAGTGTCATTTGTTCTATGATGCATGTATGTTGTTTCCTCTTTACATTACACAGGTTACACTCAAGGCTACTTGAAGGACTCCTAGATAATAGGGACTCCGGTGACCTTGAATCTAACCTTTATAGGGGAACATCTAACTATTCAGGGAAAATAAAAAGTTCTACCTATGTTGTTGGTTGTATGTGTTAATGGCTGTAACATCTAACTAATCAAAATAAAAATAGAATCATTTGTATGGCTGTTTGCAGATGAATTGTACACGAACTTATCACCTGGAATTTTCCCTTCCCTCAATTCTTCTTGTCTCTTGACGGCAGCCTTCCTGAGCAATCCAGACAGCGTGCCTGTCTAAAGGTGTGCACATGGCCCTCCTCTGTGCCCCAAGTCAATGCTGAGCTGGCCAGCCCTGCACCATGTTTACCCTCACATGCAGTGAGCCTTACACCAACCGATTGGCTGATCAAGAGGCAGTTTAAAGACGACCCTCGAGGTCCTCATGAATTATTTAACGTCGCAAACAGGACGACGATCACAGCCAATGGAAGGTAACCCGCCGATATTTATTTATAGACGTCCGGTTCTCGTCTCCTCTGCAGGGCTGGCCTGCCCCTCATGACCTATCTATAGCGCAGCTGGCAGACAAAGGACGAAGCAGCAAAGCATGCGTGCTCTAATCCCGGTGGGTTGGCATGGTGACCGTGACCAGTGCTTTGTCCAGGGCCCTTCAGATGGCAACACCCTCTCCTTCCAGCTGCTCCACGTGAACAATGCCGACTCTCAAGGTTGAGGGCACTAGACTCCTCACATGAGAGGACTCTCAAGACAGAAGACATCCTCACGGTAAGGAGTGTCGAAGAGGGTAGATAAGGTTAAGAGCAACGTACCTCAAAATAGCTGCCCCCAACCACAGATATTCTCACCAGATGACCTGACGTCGATTGTGATGACCAATCATTGCCTTGGCACAACCAGCATTATACTGCCGTTCCACCGCAGTATCAATCGCACATCAGATGGTTCTCATCACACTGCGAAACACCCAATATTACCACACAGCCTTCCTGGTGATACCCCTCTCCACCTGAGTCGCCTGCTTGCCTTCGCCCTCCGCACTGCACGCTACCCACGGTCACTCACCCAGCTAACCGCGTGCATGCACCGCATAAGCAGAAGACAAGCGCCAGATTAGCGCAACGTACCACAGCTCCGATACCAAAATGCAAGGAAAATGAGCGATAGCGAATTCCAGAAACCAAGCAGCATCATACACATGAAATCAGATAGTTTTGACCTCAAACCAAAAGCAGAATTGCAACTCGAGTTCCACCAAATAAGAGCACAGCAAATAATCTCGTCATCATAATCAATGAATCAATGTCGATTCCCTATCTGGCGCTCAGCGCCCAGACTACAATTGGCAGATCCTATCTAGCCTATCTACAATGCGCTAGTGACGTCAACAGCTTCCCGAAGTACGAGCAGATCTCAACCAATGCCATTCGCATCAAGCACCAGGTATGTCCACGCTTCACTCACAACCTCGATCCCCCCCACAGATGCCACCTGCACCCAAGGACCACCATGCGCTTCATCCAGCAATGCGCAGGTTTTACATGCTGTGCCTGCAACAGGCCGCACGGGCCAATTTCAGGCCCGTGACATTTTCAGGCCAAAAGCATGAAAACAAGGGCCTACAGGCCCTGTGTCGTTTCAGCCTAAAAGCCTGAAAACAAGGGCCTACAGGCCCTGTGTCGTTTCAGCCTAAATCAGGGCCTTTTCGGCCCTGAGCCTTTTCAGCCTGAAACTGAGGGCCATTTTTCTGGCCTTCATCAGATCGACCCGCCCTGAAACTCAGGCACCAAACCAGGGTTTTATCACAGGCCATTTTGGGCCTGTTTTCAAGACAACCCCTGGTTGAGCTTCAACGCCAGGGTCTGGCACGTTTCAGCATTGGCAAGAGCAGCCTCCTGGACGGGCCAGCACTATATAGGACTGGCCCGCCCTGCAGGCCGGCAGGTAGCTCCTAGCTACTTCCCAGGCACTTCACGTGCAGTTCAGGAGGCAGGAGGTAGTCTTTAGGATTCGGCAGCAGCACTCTGGAGGAGTGCTGCAGGAGTAGTAGTAGCGCTAGCAGTAGTCTTCAGCGCTGGGCGCTAGTAGCGTTAGCAGTAGTCTTCAGCGCTGGGCGCTCTTAGGAGCTAGAGTAGTACTAGAGAGAGAGAGAGATTGGGTGGAGGCCAGGGATACTTACCTGCAACGCCATAGCTCCAGCTTCGCCTTCGAGGTACCTGCAGCACAGCACCATCTTCACAGGTGAGTACCTGGCATATGAGAGAGAGAGTTCTTCTTCTTCCTCTTCTCAGTCCACCATCTCCCTCTCACCCTCTCGCTACCTGACTTCACTGCATCAGCAGACTATGAGAGAGCGGGCTTGGTGACATTTGGATTCAGACTCGACATTGGGCTTGAGACATTTTGACGAGGGATTATTTGGGACTTGTAACAAAGACTTGGTGTTGACGACATTCCCATCTCTTCCCCTCTTCTTCGTCTGTTCCCCTCCTCTTCGTCTGTGCATGATTTGGACCTGGCGCATTCTTCCTGTGTGTAGCACCAGGCCCCTTCACACCTTGTGATGAGGATAATGTATGTTTGGTCTGCGTTGCAACATTGATTGGGCTAGTCATTGGTATTCTAGCATTCTGCTGCGCTGTCTTGCACTACGTGATAGAGGTCAGTCCCGGTCAGGTCAGGACTTGTATCTAAGTCTTCCCCTGCGCTATAAAGCACCATTTTTGTATGTATCAGAATGTACATTGCCCGACTGGGCATGTAACAGCAGGCCAGCTCGGCTATGGCTTCCTGTTTCTTCATCGCTCGCCCGTGAGCGCGTAGGCACTCGCTTCAGCAGCTGGCGCAGCAGCACTTGCGCATAAGCAGCGAGTGCCCAATGTCCAGCCAGCAGCCAGGCCCTTTGCTTTATGGAGTGAGGCTGCCAGTCGTGGGCTGCCTGGCTGGCCTGGGCCTCTCCCAGGAAGTTTCCGGTAGGCCCCAAGTGGCTGAGCCGCTGTCCCAGGGAATCTTCCACAGGGCCTGGGAAGGTTACCTGTGTCCAACTACCCAGTTGGCCTGTGTTCAGTTCATGCACTGTGTCTGGTCCAGGGCCTGCCTCCGATTCATCTGTTAAAGGGCGTGAAAACCCGAAAGATTGGCAGGCAGGGCCTGGGCACATTCAGTCAACTGACACGGCGCTGCTGCCTGAATTTCCCCAGCTGCGTTGAAACACGAAATAGGCCTCTTGTCACTTGTCAGGCCTGCCTTCACTTAGGCCAGCCGTTCTTGCTGAAAACAGGGCCCAATAGGGCTTACTGAGGCCTTTAGCCTCGCAATCGGTTCACCCTCAGACAAAATTTGTTTGCAAATTGCAATGCAATTCTATGTTACATCTGTTTTCGGAACTTGTTCCAGATTTTGTTGTGATTTGTTCTCTTCTTTATTTAAAATTTAAAAAATATTTGTGCTGGGACTGCCTGGGACTCTGCCTGGATGCTCCCGACCGGGCCTGCTGGCCGGGTACCTAGGCAGCCACAGCTAGCCTGGGCCACCGGGATAACAACAGAGCATGTATGTCTTGTATGCAAGCCATGCATGTTGGGAAATGGCTTATGCAACATGTTCATAATCCCAGCCTGTGGACCAGCTTGCCGAACACCATCAGGACCAGCCTGTGTAACCTTGCATGAAGAAAAATCTCTGCAATATGTGTATTTGAAATCGCTTGACGCAGCTTACCAGACTCGTCTTGTCCGGCGAAGGCATACGGACAAGAATAGCCTGTCCAAGCCGTTCAGGATCAACCTAAATGCCGCCTCCTTGCAAACAATGTCCCCAAAATGTGTGATCACAACCTTTATCTGCTCAGCAGCAGTTGCTGTCTAGTGATAAGAAGAGTCTTAGGGAACCATTCAGCAGCCAATACAGCCTGCACATCTGCATCATGTATGTGGGAGGAATAACTGAATGTAGATGGCTACTCTTCTCCGGCTGAGGAGCAGTGCTTGCCTCTTCAGAGGAGAGTTGTGAGTACTGATGTGAACTCTATGCAAAGCAGCTTACTGCACACAATGCATATTCGAGGCTGTGGAGTGAGGGACTACTAGTGCTAAAATTGTGCTTCTATGACTACTAGTTTGCGGTTACTTTGATCCCCTCAGCTGATAGCATTTGTATATATGGCGTGTTGGTGGCTTTCCCGTTGCAGATTTTAGCACCTGTTGTCATGGGGATGCTGAAGCAAGCCATGGAAAGCTCACCTCCTCCACCGTCTCCTGAAGCAGAAGTTCTGATCACCCCAGCACTCCTCTTGAAGGATGCGTGCTACCATGCAGTCGGGGTTGCCAATTATGACTTATATGATTATGTTGACTTCAGGTCCTGGTGAGTGTGTGCACCCTCTCTCTCTCCCGAATACTTCATTCTCAACTTTGAACCACTGGTGGTTCACATTGTGATGGACCTGATATCTCAAATCTTTCTGTACTGCTCAGTCTTTCTCACACCATGGGGTTTGTCTTCCCCTCCTAATTGATCAAGCAATTGGTTAATCGATTGGTCCTCGTCACATTTATGCTCCCAGTGCCAAAAGAATCAGGCATACACTGGTGACATAGCACCTTTTGTGCAAAACTTTCATTGAGAATATCCAAACGGCACTGAACAGCCCCAGATTTGTTGGGGTCTGCATTTTGCCCCTTTTCGGGAGGGGAAGCCCAACCACAAGAGGGGAATTCGAGGGTTTGGTAGGCAGGATTGTTTGGACTGCTCTTGCAGAAGTGATCTGAACATGCTTTTTCCTTTTTTGCCTTTGGCTGTACCTATTTCAACATTGTTGATGAGGAGGCAAAGAAATAGAGTTGTAGACAGGGAGATAGACAAAGGGATGGAGAGAGGGAGATAGGAAGAGGGTGTGTGAAAGAAAAACAGAGTAGGGATAGAGACGGGGAGAAAACAAGGTAGAGAGATTACAAGAGAGGTAAAGTGCTAGCGGTAGAGAGTTGAGCGGCTGCCTCCCCTCTTCTTCCCTCCTAAGAAGAGAGTAGGGATAGAGATAGGGAGAAAAAAAGGTAGAGAGATTGTGAGAGGTAAAGTGACAGAGGTAGAGAGTTGAGCTGGAGCCTCCCCTCTTCCTCCCTCCTCCTCTCTGCCATTGCCAGGTCTTTCCCACGTCCCCCGACCTCCTTTGCTCCCGGCTGCCACCACCTAGGCTCTACTAGGCCCCACTGTCTTCCCTCCTGTTATTTTTTTGACTCTTGCTATGCCCATACAAACTCTCCACACACGCACGCACACACACACACACACACACACACACACACACACACACACACACACACACACACAGATTATGAAGGGATAGTCCATGCGACTTTCTGTTTCCATGTACGGCACCCCGACATGTCATGTCCAATTTGTAGACGGGCTGGAACGGCAATGCCCCTATAATTGCGGTCGACGTGCCTCGGTGCTCCTAGCATGTACGAGCCACGTGGCCTGTGCCATTTGATGCAGCAACTGTGAATGCGAAAATTGGATGCGGTGCTTCCATAGCCCACACCCGAACAGGTTCTGTCCGGTCTGTAGGGGTGGCCACTC